GCTTTCGTCAAGGGTGTTCTCTTTCGCCATTCCTGCTCAATTTTATCGTAGACGAAATACTGGAGAGCTCACTAAGTGGTCTCCGGAACGTTGGTATTGGATGGGCAGCTGGAAAAACGCTGTGCGATTTGGAGTACGCTGATGACATCGATTTTCTGTTCGAATGTACGGAGGACGCGCAATTTGCTTTCGATAGACCAACAAGTGACGCTGAAAGATTGTCGCCTTCTTCTTCTTTGGAATTTAGTGGCCAGGAATTAGTCATAGTGAATTGCTTTTCGTACTTAGGTGGTTACGTGAGCAATGACGTTAGCACAGCAAAGGAGCTCACCGCTCTTATTTCTAAGGCTTGGGCAGCATACACAAGACTGAAACATCTTTGGCGTAGACGCGACGTCTCACTGAGGTTGAAAGGTCGTGTATATTGACCTATCGTTCTTTCAGTTCTGCCTTACGGTTGTGAGACCTTGAATTTGCGAATGGAAAATACTCATCGACTAGATGTTTTCGATTATCGGTGTTTACATAGTTCAGACCACGTGGGATGAGGCGAACAGGTTAGTAATGTGGAGATAAATCGTCATTTGTTTGGGAGTCTATCAGGGATAGACCTGCAAGCCCATCGAATTCAGATTAGTAGACTTCGCTGGCTAGGGCACGTATTGCGTAGACCCAGCTGTCGCGTGCCGCACCGCACTTTATTCGCTGTATCCACTCTGGAAGGAATCCACGTGGAGGTCAGCAGATGACGTGGAGAAGAGACATGAAGAAATGCACCGAGCTATTAGGTAGAGCAGGTGTCTCGCGCCTTCCAGGTTGGGGCCTGAAAGACTTCGCAATTGTCTGGTTGGAGACATTGAAGGATATGGCAGCGAACTGACAGCTGTGACGTTCTTGTTGTCATTTCTTATCAGGTCAGAATGCTTGAAACAGAATGTATGCAGCAGTCACATCAGCCGATGCATTGACATTATATTATTATATTTCACACATGTCTGAGGACAGACTGTGTGCCAGGTAAATCATGGTACAATAATCTTAAAAGAGAGAAAAAACGTTCCATGATTGGCTAGTCGGCTGAATACTGTCAGGTTGCCTAGGCCAAGACATGCGAATTTTCTTGAGGAATTCACAGCCGGCGCCTTTGGCTAGCCAAAGCCTCATTCACAAAGCAGCCTGGCGGTGTGTGAAAACCGCAATCCATTGGGAGTCGGTGTCCAGTTCATCGGATCATCGACCGTTCGGACGGGGTCAAATGTCCAAGGTGCCCAATCGGGTCGGTGACCACTACCACAACCAAAAATGTGTGTGTGTGTGCTGTTCGTACGTCTTCTCTTATTTGGTTTGGAATCAGGGTTTTTGGCCAACTCCCCTAGGTGAACTACCATTGGTCCATCAACTCGGTTATAACCCCGGATGTCAGCTTTTCGTCCTTTCACTTTGGTGGGAAATCACCTCCGCCACGAGAAGGCAGTGAGTAGGACTTCCTCAGCAGAGGCTATCTGAGACGCTTGGTCATATGGGAGCATTTCGCGAGGTGCTAGGGAAAGGTGATCAGCCGCAACCCTAGATACCCACCCCCCAACCATACTGATTTATTTGGAGGCTGCATGGACATTGAAATTAGACGTGTAAACGCGCCTTTATAATAACATCACCACTGGCACATATATGTTCACTTAAAATAATTTCTCTCAAATGAATTTACAAAATACCAATAAGAGGGTACAAATATATTTTGCACTGATATTTCGCACTGATGTTGTTACTTTCAGTAATGCCAACCTCATGTAGTTTCCTCACATCCCGCTCTTCATATGTATCCATCGCATGATTTCCACCTCTTTCTGTAACATAATTATCGGTAAACTTGATAATTGTTCTTGTCCCCTTGGAATGTTCAATCGCTTGCCGGTGACAATTTTGTCCTAATGTCTAATAGCATCATCTCAGTAATACAGAATTTCGCGACAAATGTGTGATCTAAATGACAATGCACCACAATCCATGTCACATTCTCGTGACTATCAGCTTTCCTCTATCATCCACTCTCCTACTAATCAAATAAAACAGCGAAGAGATATTCACTGGTCTGAAGTAACCTATTGAGTCGATACGATGAAGACACCTTGCTGGAAATCGATCTATTTGTGGGTTACCATAATCCACATCCAACACAAGATACGGGTCATCACTAGATCAGATCGTGTTGATTTGAAACCAACCTCTGGATGTGGCCTCGGATGGTCCAATGGTAGCGTGTGGCACTCACATCCCTACACTTTCGGAGTCCAATTGCCAATAATTCAGTAAATATGCATACATCGATTCCTAGCTTGGGCTGAGCAGCCTCGCACTACTTCCTAAACATTTCAAATATATGCGCGACATGCGAATACTGCGTAATCCCAATTTGGGAGATCAATGAATACTGGTTTTCGGGATGTTTTGTCCACTGACCCATTGACTTGCCCCTGGCTCCAATGCCTGTGCATGGTTGTCTACACTATTAGACCAAAGATATTGTCACACTACAGTAAATTTACCATATCATTTTGATTGTTAGAGGCGCGGTTGATTCCACTAATTGTTTTACCCCATATTCCTTCCTTCCATTCATTCGCTTCAGGACCAGACCACAGCCAGACAGTTTGCCAACGATACGGCTGCCATGTACGAAAGAGCCATTGCCCTGTTGAAGACAAACAAAATGTTGTATTTTGCCTACGCGGATTACGAAGAAGGTCGTTGTAAATATGCCAAAGTACATTCGATCTACAAGAAGTTGATCTCTTTGGAAAACATTGATCCCACATTGGTAAGTTAGTAGACTGTGCTAGTCAAACAGGCTCTCTCTAAATTGAATTGTTATTTTTTCACACTTCCGGGTCCAACCGGTTTGTTCTCTCTAGTCTCTTACATGCGCACCAATCGGTCAATCATTCCAGCTGGATAATTTTTTTGTAAGGTTCCACGAGCATTGATTTTTCTCCTTGACAAATCTCGTTTAATAACGCAAACTAAATTGGGACATTACTGAACATTTGACTGAGGTTGCAACAGTATGTGAACCTACGATGATGATGATGATAATGATGATAAATTTCATTGGACAAAATGCCACACCAACTGCTCTGACAGCGGATGTTGCGATTTCGTGAAAGGGTATTTCTGATTGGGCGAAATCTTTAGATCATAAATAACTTCCTGGTGGGATATGACAAGTTGAGCAACAAAACGCCATACTTCTAGGCGCGTTTTCCTGTCACGGACAGAGAAACGGTCATTTCGGTGACAGGTGATGAAAATAGGTGGATATCGCTTGACTGCATAAGCGCTCGCGGGAAATCAACGGCGATATGAAGAGACTCGGCTAGTTTGACGAAAAACCACAAGCATCTGTCAAAAGCATCTTTTTGTTTCTTTCATTTATGGCTACACATGTGTACAGTCGGTTTTGGAGAAAATAGCTTCGGTTAGTTAAAGACTGTCTGGAAGCATACATAAATAGAGCAAATGGGCGGCGAATACACTGCCTCCGAGTCTCTGGGATGCTAACGTTTAACAACCACCCGCAGTCGCCACTCAGGGTCATTGTCATTGACTTGTTATCCAACAAGTGGTACCTGATTATGAAAGGGTTGGAATCAGGCTCTGGACGGGGACATTACTCAGTGTCACATTGCCAAGTTTTCACATTGAATCTACAAATCCGCGACGCCGATTTTTCCTCGCACTAACGGGTTACTTGAAACGAAACGAAGAGGTTTACCGTCGATTCCGTCTGACGAACCAATCACTTAAACAGCATGCATTGAGTCAACCTCTTCTCGTGTGCTAGGAAAAAAAATGACTGTGAACACGCGCAACTCAACAGTCGTCTGCTGTTCATCACAGTGATATATAATAAAAAAAACAATAAATTCATTCTCGATAACGAAATTCAGCCATCTTGTTCGTAGCGATGCCTAGTTATTGTGATTGCTGCTTTCTACAGGATCGTACTATCACTTGAAGCCCCGATGTGTAACCTGATTTTTCTGTTGCTTTTTCCGCATTACAAATCTCAGTTTTAGAGACTATTCTCTGGTTACCATGTCGTATGCAGCGTTTTTACCAAAAGACCATCATTGTAGTTGACCGCTCTATTGCATCCCAGGGCTTTGTGTGTTCTCCACACTGATCGATAGGTGGCCGATCATCAGTTCTTTTATTATTTGCCAATTGTGGTTTTGCTACTGTCCTTGAATTTACTATTGTTCTATTATCCCTACGTGTCGTGAATCCTTCTTTTGCGTCTACGTCCCAAGTTGTGTATATTTTTTCCAATTATCTAACCCGTTGTTTTGTTCTAATGTGTGGCTATTTGTTTCCCCTTCTCACAGCCCTATATTCAGTACATGCGATTTGCCCGCCGCGCTGAAGGTATCCTCTCGGCAAGGCACGTTTTCAAGCTTGCCAGGGACGATCCACGGATAAGCTATCATGTCTACTGTGCAGCCGCTTTTATGGAATATTTCTGTAGCAAGGTACGTTCTGTCAAGCTTATTGTTGTCATCTACAATATTACCTAAAATGGTTGATTAGACATGCCAACACATAGTAGAAAATAATTGGTCTAAAAAAAAGTTTTAAACCAACTTTGCTATAATGCATAGTGATCAAAACGGTCTAGAATCGGACCGTGATCCACGCACAGCCATGAAGGTGTGTGTGTGCGTGTGGTTTATACGCCTCCTCTTGGTTGTTTTGGAATCAGCGCTTTTAACTGACTCCTCTAAGTGAACTGGCAGTGGTTTACCAATCCCGTTTATAGCCCCGGTTGTTGGTTTTTCGTCCTCCCACTTTGGTGGGGAAACACCTCTGCCACGGGAAGGCGGTGCGAGTAGGGCTTCCTCAACAGAGACCATTTTAGACGCTTGCTCGTATGAGAGCAGCTCGAGGGGTGCAAGAGAAGGGTGATCAACCGCAACCCAATTGTACAGAGGCTTTCAGGGATAACAACCTACTCGGCGGTTTCAGAAGCGTTATATCGGTGAATAACATCCGTAGACAACGTATGTGCTGTTCACTTGTTTTCACCAGACTTTTTCAGTTTTTATTACCAACAACCTAAGCCTTGGGATTTGGAATGGCAAACCATGTAACGTGATATTCGGCCAAACCATGGGGAAGTTGTTTACCACCAAAGTTAAGTCGTGATGGGAGGGTTTGAACCCCGACCCCAAACTTGCCTCACTGAACGGAACATGGTAAAATACACCGAAAGCGGGAAACTTCCGTATCAAAGACAAGAGAAAAGAATGGAACTTAGACGGGAAGACCGAGAGAGGAATTATGTATCTCCGGCTAAGCTTGGTAGTGAGTGGCAGGGTTCGAATCTTAAACTTAAACGACCTGAGTGAGGTTCCCGTACTGGCGGCGGCTCAAACCACTCGAACGCAACACATACATACACACAATTTGCCGTCATATTTAAGATTCAAATGTAGCCGGGTTTTGCACGGTGATAAAATGGCGTATGAGCCCTCCCCCCAAAGGGTCACCAGCGACCATGCGCACTGCCTTCCTACTTACTGCCTTGCAGTTAGCACTTAGATGTGAAAAGGCTAAAGATGCTACCTCGACCTAAAGTCGGGTGCTGCTGAGGACGTTTCCCCTAAATAATCCCCCCTCCCCCCAGAAATTTCATGGAATGTCCATAAAGCCAGTTTATCCTCTTCTAGGAGTCAGCCGGCGTGAAGTAAGTAAACCAGGTGTCTGCGAGCGCTAAGGACTGAGATTTTCGTACTATCCGTCCCGTCTCGTGGCGCGTAGCTGAGTTTAGTTAGCATCAGAGGGAACTTAATCAAACCACTTGAATTCACCCTCACTCAAATTTGTTTTTATTTCTTGGCGCAATAGTTACTCCGAGTCCGCCTCGATCCACTTTTCAACCCCCCCTGCACGAAGTTTCCGGATGCACTGCCTGGTTGTCGTTCGCCTCCCACACGTATGGTTGGCACAATGCTTTCGCTTGTTCTAAACCAACATCACAGCTGCTTGCGATGATTCATTCTTCCCACCTTGTTTCAAAGTAAAATGTTTGAAATAAGTGCTTACTCCTCAGGGAGTTGTGGATGCGCTGAGGCGTATCTATAATCAACTCACCTCCCTCCCGCAATACTCACCTATTTCTTATGCAAAGACTAATTCTTTTCGTCCCATATTTCTGCCAATTTCAATAGGATAAAGAAATTGGGCACAAAATCTTCGAACTCGGAATGAAACGGTTTGGCGGTAACGCGGACTACATCCTGTGCTATGTGGATTTCATGGCTCATCTGAACGAGGACAACAACATTCGTGTCCTATTCGAACGAGCGTTGGGATCCAATCAGATCGCCCCGGAACGTTCAAGGCTTATTTGGGCCCGTTTTCTTCAGTTTGAATCACAGGTCAGTCCGATGTGATTCGGCTCGTGTTGTCCTCCGATCGATACCGGAATGAAAAGGGAGTCAACTTCCAAAGTGGTATCGTTACCACAGTACCGTTATTTCCTCACTTATAATCCTCTGACGCGGGGCTACTATTCTTACTTTGACATGAACCTTTTCAGTTGGAGAATAGGTCGATAAGAATCCAGGTCACTTTTATTATTACACGCCCAAGTGTGATGAACAGCAGACAGGGCGAACCCCATAGTCACGAGGACCTGCTTTTCAGTGGTGGAAACCGGCAACTTAAGCCCCACGAATTGGAGCGGCGAACCAAATAAGGCTCCATTAGGTGAGGCGTTATATTGAACCGAACGACAGCACAGCCGCTTCCCACCACAGTCGGGTAGTGGTGGCGCGGCTTGACCCTTGGACCGTAGAGTCCAAAGCACGCCGGTGGCAGCGACTAAACCACTGCACCACCACTACTGCAGATTAACACGCCTTCACTGGCAGAGACCACAAACTGACCGTGAACCTAGATACGCTCCAGGTCTTTCTTGACGGCACTGATCCACGTTTTTTGGCTAACCAATGAAAGGGCAGCACCATTCCGATCAAGGTGCTGGTAGGGCGTCTGTTAAGATAACCCCTCATTTGGATGTGTTTTATCACTTAGTCTTTATGAGACTCATACCGAATACTGG